GTGTTGCTAAACCGGATGAAAGACGCAGTAGACGCTCCACTTCGAGGTCAACCAGCTGGATTCCGTAAGGATCAGTTGTGTACAGACCAAATTGAAACACTACGGATCATCGTCGAACAGTCAGTTGAGTGGAACTCATCACTATACATCAACTTCATTGATTATGAAAAGGCATTTGACAGTGTAGATAGGAAGACATTATGGAAACTTCTTCGACATTACGGAGTTCCTGAGAAGAGTGTCAACGTTATCTGGAACTCATACGACGGACTACAGTGCAAAGTAGTGCATGGAGGACAGCTGACAGATGCATTCCAAGTAAAGTCCGGAGTCAGACAAGGCTGTTTACTCTCTCCCTTCCTCTTTCTTCTGGTGGTCGACTGGATTATGAAGACCTCAACATCTGAAGGAAAACACGGAATACAATGGACAGCTCAGAATCAATTAGACGATTTGGACTTCGCAGATGATCTAGCCCTCCTATCACGTACACACGAACAGATGCAGATAAAGACAGCCAGTGTAGCAGCAGTCTCTGCATCAGTAGGCCTCAACATACACAAAGGGAAAACCAAGGTCCTCAAATTCAAAGCGGAGGACAGCAATCCAATCACTCTTGATGGCGAAACTCTGGAAGATGTAGAGTCCTTCACATACCTAGGAAGCATCATCGATGAACAAGGAGGTTCAGATGCAGACGTAAAGGTGAGGATTGGCAAAGCAAGGGTCGCATTCCTACAATTGAAGAACATATGGAACTCAAAACAACTTTCAACCAATATCAAAGTGAGAATCTTCAATACGAACGTCTAGGCAGTCAGTTCTACTGTACGGAGCTGAAACTTGGAGAACTACAACAACCACAATCAAGAAAGTACAAGTATTTATAAATAGCTGTCTACGCAAGATACTCAACATCCATTGGCCGGATACCATCAGCAATAGCCTTCTGTGGGAGAGAACAAACCAACTTCCAGCTGAAGAAGAAATTAGGAAAAGACGATGGAAATGGATAGGACATACAATACGCAAATCACCAAACTGCATCACGAGGCAAGCCCTAACTTGGAATCTTGAAGGGAAGCGGAAAAGAGGAAGGCCAAAGAACACATTACGTCGGATAATAGAAGCAGATATGAAAACGATGAATTACAATTGGAAGGAGCTAGAAAGGATTGCCCAGAACAGGGTTGCATGGAGAATGCTGGTGAGCGGCCTATGCTCCTTCACGAGGAGTAACAGGCGTAAGTAAGTAGGTATGTTTGTGTGTTTGCTAACACTCAGCTAACAAGTTTTATACTTACGAGCTCTATGAAACATGTTATATCCGAACAAAGAATACATGAATGGTAAATGCTGGGAATTATTCATGAACTATTATTATATATATTCCTACTGAATAATTACTAACTATATCGTATGTATATTTATAGTAATTTTATTATAAGCTTCCATTTAACCTATTGAGTACAATTACACGATTTATTATTATTAGGATTTTTCTCAATGTATAAGTTACAGCCTCTCACATTCACAGCCACTTTTTGCCTGGTCTTGAATAATTGTTATTTTCTATTCCATGGATGATGCAATCTGGTTTGATTGTATAATAACTACGTATGCCTGAAATTTATGATTTATATAGCGGAGGCTGATATTGGTGTTCTGGACTGAACTGGCTAAGTTAAGCAAGAAGTTACTGTCTCAGAGGACCAATATGAGCTCAAAGTTGAAGCTACTCGTACTGGTATGTGTCATTGGTTCGGCAGTGCCAAGGTCACATAAGTCGCTGTTTGTAATTGGCGGTTTAGTCACGTGATATATTAGACGGGAATATGAGCACAATAAATCCCAACAAACCATAAGGCCTAAAATCAAAGCATTCTGAAGTACGTAGTCAAACAAAGAACAAATGATCCACATATAACTTGGTTGAATATCAAAAAGAGAATTTCTCGATCGATCAATAATAATCAATGAAATATCACCTTTGGAGTATACATTAATGAGTTTGTATTTTCTCGGGTTTTTCTACACCTTTCAGTTATGCAGAGAACACACAAATATTCAGTCAAAATAATCATTATTGAAGTACAATTAAAGATAAAAAAAAGAAATAATTAATTCCATTAGTTTCGTGAAAATGTAAAATTTGAGAATAATTTTCATCTTATACCAGGTGAGCCATTGAATAGCTATTTTTGGCTATTTTAAGATTCATCAGTGGTACACAATTATATGATAGAACCCGAGACTTGAAGGTTTCATCGAGAGCATGATCTTATCAATTCAATAAGTTGAAATCCAATAGTACGAATTTTCGTCAACGTCAGTTAGCATTTAAAATAACAATGACCACCCACATGTTCGCGCTATCGTGCGATTTGATTGAAGTTAGAAATGCCAACCATTGTGGCTACCTTGATGTGGTGGTCGGGTTCGCCTATCGTGATGAACCAATCGAGCTATACTGGTTGGAACGATCGTTCCTAAAGGTCCTACAGTCCCAGACATGTTGGTTGAAGAACGGTAAGACTAAGAGTAACAAATCCAAGGTCCGAAGACGAAGTCGTACTGCTGAGTATACAGAGGTGTGACGGCAACCAGCATGACAGGGATGCTGCCTTCCCACAAGAAGGGGTGGGGCTAGAAAAGGTCGACCCCAAAAATGCACACCTCGCCTTATCACACGGATATCCGTCTCAGTCGGTAAGGTCCCAACAAGTACTGAGCTAACACGAAAATCACTCACAAAAAGGTTGTGTGTAACCGGCCTCGAGCAGTTGTCCCTTGGGCACTGCGGTCACGCTCCCAGGTCACTAAGACCACTTCTAATCCCATTTCCTTTTCAGGTACCTCCAGAAGAACCCTTCTACGGTGTGGGCAACCGGGAAGTGAAAACCGCCCTCATACCTCTAACAGCACTCAAGATCACTGTATTCATAATCAATTTTTTTCTTCAATTCCTATAATTCCTCCTCAATCAACTTTCAACACTAAACTTCCTCTTTTGGCTTCCTCCTCAAGTGTCACCATAGCTAACGATTCTAGGGCGCAAAACACTATCCCAGGTCTACTGAAACCTCGTTTCAAACTACACGCTGTAGTTTTCAACGTGCGCACCCTATGTTGAATCGACCAATAGGCCTGGGAGTTGGACATAATCCCATCTGACTGGTCACAATCATTGATTGTCCCAATATATAAGAGAGGGTCAAAATCATCCTGTGACAACCATAGAGGGATTAGTTTAGCTAACATAGCATCTTAAATACTAGCCTCAATAATAATCGGCGGCCTAACGAAGACTCGTGAACTGCAAACACGTGGAAATCAGGCTGACTTCAGACCTGGTCGTGGCTGCATCGGCCACATACCCACCATTCGTCAGGTTTTAGAACGTAAGTATACTTATCGGCCTCCGACAATGATAGTTTTTCTTGACTTAAAACAGTATTTGACTCTGTGAACCGATAGGTTCTGTGGCAGTGTCTGTCATTGAAAGGTGTACCTCAGAAGTATATAAACCTTTTGAAGACGCTTTACTTGAACACTACTAGTCGAGTCAGGGCTTATGGTGAATTGTCATCTGCTTTTGCAACCTCAAGTGGTATCCGGCAAGGCTGTAAACTTTCTCCATTTTTGTTCAACTTCATCATACACCTACTGATGGAAATAACTTTCTCATCGACTGAGTTCTCGGGTATTGATCTCCATCCAGGAGGTCCACTTATCGACTTAGAATACGCAGATGACATAGTCCTGTTTGGTGAAGACGCTGATAAAATGCAGATTCTTTTGGTAGCACTAAGCAACAATGCCAGAATGTTTGGAATGCGCTTCTCTCCCTCTAAATGCAAGTTGTTGCTTCAGGACTGGTCTGCGTCAACACCTGAATTAAGAATAGGGAGTGAAGTAGTCGAACGCGTCGATAACTTCACTTATCTTACAAGTCTGATCAGCCCTGATGAGTTGTAGTCTGACAAAATCTCAGCATCGATTCGAAAAGCTCGTTTGGCTTTTGCCAACTTACGTCACCTATGGTGAAAGCGAGATATCCGTCTATCAATAAAAGGACGAGTATACTGTGCAGCAGTTCGTTCTGCTCTACTTTACGGCTGCGGAACGTGGTCACTAAAAGTAGAAGATACTAGTAAGCTACTAGTATTTGGCCACAGATGCCTTAGAAATATTGCTCGCATCTACTGGGATCACCGGTTAAGTAATAGTGAGGTTCGACTCAGTGTATTAGTTATGATAGTAAATCAGTAGATGAGGTTGTGAATCTTCATCGACTGAGATGGTTGGGCCACGTGTTACGTATGCCTGAACACCGATTACCACGACGTGCAATGCTAACCGGTGCTGGAGATGGTTGGAAGAAAGTTAGGGGCGGCCAAACCAAAACGTGGCATCAGTGCTTGAAGTCACTAACTCCTAGTCTGAGCCATATTGGTAGATGCAGACTACTTGGTTGGAGTTCACGTGACTATCGTAACCAATGGCTGGGGACTGTGGGTGACATGGCTCAGGATCGATCACATTGGCGTCGGCGTATACACTCTCTGCCTTTCCTTAAACTATGAGATTAAAATCGCTTCATATCTTTCTTTCTACGAACTAATTCTTTCTTCCCGTACTATATCCTCATATGCAATCTTTCTTTTATATACTACCACCATTGAATTAGCTACTTCTATGAAGCCGGTGTTTGTCATTCTGCGCTAATGAGGTAACTTGGACCGACGCAAATATGTGCGTGGTCCCACATTGTAGCTGACTGACTGGTTGACAACAGTTAGATTTTTATGGTTTATCATATCTTTCATACGATTTGAAAGCCCTGTGTTCATGATCCTGCATGGAATTATGATTGGAAACTGTCGGGCAGTTTAAAATTAATGAGTTATCCAGTGTACTTAATTAGTTCTTCAACTGAAAACAAAACTATATTTAGAAAGCAAAGGAAAAGAAGAGAGAAAAAATACATGCTAACTTACATATGGTAGAAAATGCAGAGCATATAGCAAATAGTAATGTAAGACCTGCGTTAATACCAGTGACAGTTAGATTTAATGTACATTGACGAGGTAAACCGTAGAAGAGTACAAAGGCAGTATAAGCACAAATAGCTACAGCGTACAGTGACAAGGTAGCAATATATATAGCTGAAAATTATGGAAGAAAAATTACATACATATATAGATCAAATGTCAATTATCAGGTCGAGACAAATCATTATTGTCAATTATTATTACTTCATTGAAACTTTGAAAAAAATTTTAATTGGATAAAAATCAACATCAGTTAATTTGTGGAGAAGTTTTCTACTGCAGTTATGCGACTATACATAACTTATAAATGTGCCTGGTCCTACGTTGTAGCTGACTGACTATAAATTGACATATATGTTGAAATATTGCATTAACCAAGATTTTCTTCAGAATTGGAAAAGGAATTATTCTAACTGTTAATCAACGTTGTTTAAATCAAGCGAGACGTGAAGTCTGATTAACCAGAAATCACAATTTAACTGTCACAAAAATCAACTTTAAATATAAACACGAGTTTTCTGTTGTAGTATGATCGGTGCCAACAGCATTTATACATTTTATTAACTGTAAGTGCCTAAATTAAATAGTAATTTGAGATAATAGGGATTCGTGTTGTTGGTCAGTATGGTCTTTTAGTCTTAAAGAGTTATGGTGATACACTTGTTTAATAAGCTTGACTGTTAATGATTAAACTAAATTAATGCTCTTTTATTGACCTTTTTATCAACAAGAGTGATATACAACATGGCAGGATATCGAAAAAACTTCTCCATGATTTCCGTCCTATCTAAACACAAGACAAGGTTGGCCAGAATGTCAATTCAGTCAGGATAATGTTTACGTCACAAAACGCAGGCGATCAGCGCTAACTAGTACGTAACATGACGAACTGATCAACTAACATTTCCGATCGAAATATGTGGCGACACGGTCCTCTTGCGAAGATCAGTCCTCTTGGAATCGCAGATACTTCTTGCTGATGGGTGTCATACCAGAACTATCTCCCACTGAATCTTGAGCTAAATGGATCTAGTCATTCTTCCAGCACATTCACTTCCTTGGGTCTATATCTCTTGTGTTTATATTCCAATTGATTCCCATAAGATTTAATATTATATGCATCCAATCTTTCCGATTTTCGCTCTTTGTGTTAAAGTAAAATATGACAATTTGAACCGATACACATTCGTGCTCGGCTCAAATGACTGTGACACTGACCGGCTGAAAAGTTTCATCTGCATACACGATGAATAACTTGGATAAAAAGCTTACTCTAGATAAATAATTTTTCGCAATTCACAATTAACAAACAAGTAATCAAAACAAAAGTCTTGTAAATTCATACGGAGGAATTAACTATACATATTTTATTTTTGTGAAGAACTCAGCGTGACAAGAAGGTACTTTGTATGACAGCTTTCAATCGAATTTATATGACAGTCAAAAATCGAAACTGAAGCACACTACAAAACAGAGACGTAAGTTTTGGAATCCAAACGCTGATAGCTCTGACACCCAACCTTGCTGAACTTTTATAAACCGAAATTTTAAAACATTTTCATGGTAACCAAATTATTTTGGCTTTTTTATTCTTACATTAAACGTAGGAAATGCATACATAACAGATGACGAATCTAACTCACCTAATGTATAAAAAATTGAAGTTTTCGATTTATTATGCCTAGACGAAATCAAAAGAAAACATTATTAAAATACGCTCAGTAAAAATAAATGCTTGAATTAAGTAAGTGACAGAATGAAATGATTATTTATTTCGACAGTCAGTACGTACAAATTTTGCTGAAGATTTCAATGCTATATGGCCGATATGGTGTTAGCAGAACTGAAAAAACTCTTGAACTGAATAATCCATAGAAAACGTCAGACGAACGTCTCAAAACTTTACGTTTTAGGTTATATATTTTTGTGAGTAGCATTAAGTATCATGGCTTATTTTGAAATTGGAAAAGTCTCTCGAAGATAGAAAAATGCCCATTGGCTACACGTAGTCTTAAACAGAAAGCAGATTGAAGACAATGTGTACCTACAAAAAATTAAGTCCTAACAAACAATATATATAAATCCGAATGATTTTACCGAATCAATAACACCGACAAATTTACTTGGTCCTGACAAAACAAAGTACAAGTCCCTTTACCTATCGATTTCTTACTTTGTAGTAATCATTGTTATGTTCGATTCAAAGTGTTGATTAACCTTTATCTAACAAGTTATAATATGACTGCTAAGCTAAGCGATTTTACATTGCAGTGTATTTTATTTAGTGTCAGGCAAGTAGAATAAATCGGAGGCCGTTTGAATCTTACGGGGAGTATGTAAATTCCAAACACAAATTTTAAGTCAAAATAAAATCTACAGAGTATCGACTGTGATGAATTATACAAAACACTAAAATGTCTCCTACTTTATCAAATCAAGCTTGATGAAGTAGAATCAGAATGGAACGAAACTCAAGATGGTCGGGCAAGCATTCAACACTGACCGATGTAGTTACATTTTCCAACTTCCCAAGAAACCATATTTTCTGGATATGGACCCTCTAACAACAGTATGGAAATGACCCCGAAATGTTAGGTTGTACAACTTCAACCCATTCATCGATTGTACTGTTGGATGTTCGTTTCGCTATTCTATACACATCTACAGTTAGCATTGTTCGTTTCATTGTTTTTGTTCTAGGTACAGTTTTTTTAAACAAATGATCTTGAAGTGACCCATTAATACAACCCTATTTGTTTGGTCACGTGTTGCTTAAGGTTACTAAAATATTTGGCTCATTAAACGATTCCCTCAAAAAAGATATCTAGTTCTTCACTAAGGTGGCCTGTAAACTGGTCAATACAAGTTATACTAATTGTTTTCCACAAAAAGTTAATTTATAAAACAAAACGCCAAAATCCATTCATTTAGGCGTTCAACAGCCCTTTTTCCATCAAATAATATCACTTAAATAGTTTGTAAGTGTAAACAATAATGATCACAACACCTCAGCTCGATAATGATTTTGAGGCTTATGTGTTAGATTTTTGGCCACGTCATTTAAGTGAGAACCAGTAACAAACTACTCCATAAACATTAGTAAGTAGGTGTCGTTTTAAACTCAACACTTAGAAATTGAGATCCAATCGCCTAAACTAATGAGGTACTGGTCTACGCAAGCCTGAAATAATTAATAGGCAATATACTCACTATATGGATGTAACAATCTAGACTTTTAGCAATAAGGTGTGAGGGTTAGGCTGTAAAGGTCGTCAACAAACTCCAGTTTGGTCCGTGATTAAGAAAGTATTGCTTGCGGTATTATGTTAATTTAATTTATCTGCAAATATTGGGTAGTGACAGACAAATACAGTGACCGGTTGATTTTACCAGTAGAATCTAAGTGTGCGAGACTATATAACCCAAGTAAACTAAAATTTCCCAACTGCTTCAACTTTAATAAGTGATTTTATGTTATTATTGACAAGAAACATTCTTGCTCTTATAGTGGCAAGATTTGAACATAACTGACTACACCAATAATAAGTAATCGAAACAAAAGTCTTGTAAGTTTATACGGAGGACTTAACTATATATATATATATATATATATATATATATATATATATATATATATATAGTGAAGAACTCAGTATGAAAAGGTTCTTCGTAAAATCAAACTTCTAACGGACATATCACCACAAACTTACAGACAAAGTGGCCTAAATGTTCTGCCAATTTCTAAGGCTTTGCTAGTGGACATAACTATTAGTCAAATCAAACATCCATGAAGAAAATAGATTAGGAGACTCCATAATAAGTAGCTGAACAAGTGGCATGAGTAATGTTTTATATTCATGATTCATGAAATCAGAAACTGGTGAGACTATGATTTCTGGACGAACCAATCATATTTAAGATACCAGGTTTTGAATTTTGGCGCGAAATTCATTCACTCATTTAGTTAAATATTATTTTGGCACCACATGTGATGTCAGTTCGTGATGGAAACATCAAATCTAATCCCTAACCCCAACTTTTAACTGTAAATCCTAACCCTAATTCCTTACACTAATCTATACCTCTCACTTAACCCTAGTAAGTAGGTAGACATCCTAAGATCATCTTAGCATTACTCAAAGGTCATCCATAAAACATAATCTCACACAAAAACTATTAAACGAAATTCGGCAATATACGGAAACTCGTCTAAAAAGTATCGTCATTGAAACTTCGATGTTTTATTTGGTTTTTGATGTTGCTTTGACTCATTAAGGATTATCTTCATGGTGAAACTACCAACAAAATTTTTCAAATGTTCAACAAATTATGTTCTTTAAACATTCAATCGACAGCACCAAGCATGTATGCAGGAAAGTCAAGTAATGACCACAGTAAAAGTGAGTATTTAGGAGGACAAAAGATCGCAAAAATTGTCATTGTCTTACCAATTTCCATTTATTTCATAAGCAAAGTCGATAAGCGTTATGTGTTGTACATAGACAAATAAAATCCCACCAACGATTCCCATAATCATCCACACTGTAGATCAAAGTGAGTAAAAATCAAACAAACCTCTGGTGAGAGTTTCCAAGTATGGGAAAAAGTAAGCAGTTATCCACACACTGACAATAAAGAATAATTTCCACAACCAGTACCTACATGTATAAGTTACTATATATACAAACTACCCATTATGAATTTTTCCCCTGAACGTCTGACTGGAAGAGACTGCGATGGTAAGAAGTGTCATCAAGATATGAAAAGTGAAGAGAGAAAGACATATACGATAAACCCCAATATATCCTATAATTCTGTAACATCCTTCACCAGCTCCAATCTGAGAGCAAAACCGCTCAAAACTGTCTCTATGCTGTGGAATCGTTAGGAATATTAGATAAGACATACTCTGAGATACAGCGAACTTAAAACTCCACCCTCATGAGATGCAATTGATATAAATGTAATAAACACAAGAATAAGTGTGTAAGTAAGTCGTGTTGTGGTCGATTCTCTAGAATTTTTTACACAACACAAGAAGCACGGATACGCTCCAAAACCACATTCTAATGTTCGCCCAAGACAACCCATAGAAATCTACTAAACATATGGTGGTGACAAAAGTACATGCTCAACGTTTGACTAGTTCATCGTTATTGACCTTAAAACAGTACCTTTGATGTTGGTTCATTAAAAGTAATAAGAAATAAAACTAGAATCTGCACTACAGAAAACGTTTTGTCACTTGCTTTATGTTCAAAAGTAATTTGTATGTCCTTTTTGCTTCATTTTGTTATGCAATTTTGTGTTATTACTCAAGCTGTTTAGCTATTATATCGGAATGTAGAAGAACAAACATAATTCGGTCAATGAACAACACAACAACTTGTGGTCTAATGATCCAGCTTTGTAATGGTCTACCCACCACTAAAAGACAACCAGATGCACTAGAGCGAATTCTGACGAGTTGCGACCTCCCCATTAAGTAGTACAAAGTCTGTTTCATCAGATACCCACCAATAGTGTGCACTTCAGTTACTGGAAAAGAAATAGACAGTCGACTCTATGAATGTTTTGTGAGAATCTAGAAGGCCTACGTGTATAAAATGATTACTTTCAGATAATCGTTTAGCATTGTAGCTATTTAATAGATTTGCATTACAAGATCTATCTAAGAAAACGAACCAGTTTACTTTCGGATGTAGATATGTAGATTTATGGCCTAGTTCAGTATCAGTACATTTATCTTTGTTGTTCTATTAAAAGGCCCAATTCCAAAGTTGTAGATCTGTCATGATTTGATCAACAAATCTATAAAATCTTACTCAGATGTTACGTCATAGTTCACACTAATCCATCCTATCGTGACAATCAGCATCTCGATGTTTAGTACTTCTGCAGTCACATTTTGTCTGGAGGATAGAATTGTGTAGTTATTGTTGAAAGGTATGGGTCACACAGAGTGACTGGGCCTGTAAAGCTGAACCATGCCATACCAACCAACTGTCCTCGCGTTCACCAATCTCAACCTTCACTAAGTGTTATATTACGGATGGTAATCGCATTAGTGTTTATATGCTCGGCTCCGAGGATCGTGTGGTTGGTAATCAATACCACCACAGATATCTATTAGCTAAATAGTGCACCATAATAATTTTCTTCTGAATTACAATTTTCAGGTATCCTTACTCCCGGGTTTCCCTTTACTTAGTTGTTGTGCGAGAAGCTCGAATCATCTACTTTATTTTTAGATATTCTGTTCAATATCTTCGTAATACTGAACGTTCAGCCTAAATATTGACTTTGACTATGAATCTGCTATTCTAGACTTAAGGAGACCTAAAGATTGGCTGTTTAGAATAATTTTTCCACACCTGTCATAACGAGAAATATTCCCGTAGATTTGCGATTAGATACGTGACGTTTTTATTTATTTACTCGACTCAATTTGTTCGGGATCGTAAATCTAATGAACATTTGTCTATCAACTTCTCAGCAATCTAAACCTATTTTTGTAACACATGCTTCACTAACCGTCCAATGATCGTTTTTATTCAAATTGCCTTACAGTTAAGCCACACTCCAAGTACCTGAAACTTCCTCCAAATCTCATAGTCGTCTGTAGGGAAGTTGAATACTGAGGAAAGTGTTTGAAGGTGTGTTCTAAAAAATTAGATAACGTAACTAAATCACTCATCTGACTTCGTGAAGTTACGTTCGTTTGAAGGACTAAACAAGTAATAAACACTTTATTATGGCCTCCACTAAGCTGCTAAGATAACACAGAAGAAAATCCTGTAGTGGCAAATAAATCTCCAAAACAAATAGTCCTGTAAGTCCTCAACATTGATGCTGACTCAATTAGTTTTACATGACACACCACCACTGAATGCCTCCTATCACCCACCAACACGAGGTCACGAGTAATTTCGCCGTGCTTCACCTTCCTTGCAGCTACTAGCCAGCTTAGATCAAATGCTTCTCAATATATCGGCAATTGTGTCTAATATAACTTCGGGTGCATTTTTTACTGACTTCTGGTTTGGCTTGGTAGGTATCATTCGAATATAAAGATATTGCGTACGAATGTGTCGTCAGATTTTAAATAACCGTGGCATCTTCAACTCCTAATAAAAGCAGGATGAAACTGTGCTTGTAGTATTCTGAGGTCCTCTTATTAAAATTTGTTAGATACACTACACAGACCCTTGTCGATAAGCCAGCAGAAAGCTGTTGATGACAACCGTGTACACTGATGAGTCATCCGGTTAGTGATAAAACACAAACGTACTAAGATTCTGATTGAGTGGGTCGTAAATTCAGTGTGTAGTAGAACTTAAATCTGCAGGACTTGAAATAAATTTTACATGGTGAGCCTATCTATTTTCGCACCTAATTTTGGCTTGGTGTTTCTACTGAGGCACGGACAGTTGATACACTCGTAACTTACAACTCTAACATCAAGAAAAGCACATTTAAATTCAGGTACCTAAAGTTTATACTCAAAATGAGAGTTATCAACCCAAATATAGTTCTAATGAGATTTTAGGTTTTCAGAGCAAAATTTGCAAAATACTGAACCAAACATTGTGAAGCTGAAGGTGTTTAGGGCCAAAATTATAAACGAACGCCTTGAAAGTTTGAGTAAGACAAATATATCCAAAACGCAATGAAAATTATGTTCATGACAACAGTTAACAGTTCAGTAAATGTTCTGAATTTCTCATGTGACCTTTCTATTTTTCAAATGATAATCACAGTCCATCAGAGTTACCTGGAATAGTTTTATCGAACAACGCACATAGTCGTAGGCTATAGCCACATTAAAGCAACCTAATCAGGCAGTTAGTGGCAAGTTGATAACCTATTATTCATATAAAATTATGATAGATATGGAGTTTATTTATTTCCATGTCATATGTAGGTATCGTGTTTCCTAATTCCGTTCAATTTCTCCTTTTGAATGGTGAACATTTTGTACTTCTCGAAGGTTATTTCAAAGCCCTCCATTTGCTCCTCAAATTGTGTAATAACCGGTAAAACTGTGATGGTATTCTTTTTCAACCACACCATTTTTAAAGCTGAATAGTTAATAACTGAGGTTGTTTACGTTCAACATTTTACGCTTGTAGAAGTTCAATGCACCCATAATGATTGTTTCTCTGGGTGTCAGTTTTATTATTGTCACAGCTTCAGTAGTATCCAAGGTTTTGTCAGGAGGTGTTATGGACTATCTTCGACTATCAGGGTAGAGTTTATGTGGATTGGCCGAATTTTTCCTGTAAGCGCTTTTTGGCGGGTCTTTGTAATGTGGTATTATTAATAACTATACAAAACAACTTACTCCTTTACCTAGGTGTATGACCGGGGGTTCCCAGAGGGCTCAAAGTGGAATCGTTCATGGATCCATCGTAATTGTAGACAATTAGGAACCACCTCCACTCTTTAGTGTAGAAATTCAATTTACATTAGTTCCAAATTATAGGGCTTATTCAAACTGATGTTATGTTGGAGAATAGACATTTGAAACATCCCATGTATCAGTCGATTTAGTTCTATGAAACGACCATTACACCATGGAAAATATGCAGCACGGTGAATTTTTAGCGCACCAGAGGCATTAATTAGGGTACATATTAGGGGATTACAACGTTCAACTACAATAAGTTTATTCTACTCGTACTGAAATAGTAATACAGTTCTGGATTGAAAATCCAGTTACTTCATTCTTTGAGCAATATACTTGGTATCACTACATCCCTGAAGCAACACTCATCTCTTAAATAACCCACTTCACTGAGGCTACTTCTCAGTGGACTGTTATTTCCCAACACAAGTAGCGGAAAGACCACCTACCCGTTACGTTCTTTTCAGGCATGTGCTTCATCCATGTAGACCCAACCCTCCGATGTTAGAAAATATGTTGCATCGTACTGGTAGGATAACTATAGGACTTGTACCCGATATTCTTTAGACAATTTTTCACCTTATAATACCGGGTGAGATAGCCACAGATATATATATAACCATGGAATACAGGTTGTAACACAATAATAAGTCGACCGAAATGAAGTGAATAATCCAGGACCTGTCAATAGCATGGAAATCTCACAAGGGCACATGGAAAGTAGAAGATGAATTCGGGCACGTTTTAAAAAATTAAACGTGCTTGTATTGCACGAGACCAGACCAATACAGTAACTTCAGACTGGGACGACTAAAAAACGGTAAGATCAAAATGGCAGCTGCCAGTGTATTATGATGAATGGTATGACTTAACAGACAACATCAAAGTCACACCTTACGGTTAGTACTTGTTATATACCGGTAAGAATTATGAATGGTAAGTCTTGAGAACTATTTATGGATCAATACGACATGTATATTTTTATTGTATATGCATATTCATGTTCGTCTTACTAAAAGCTTTATTATGACCCATGGACTATCACTAAAGGATTTGCCGTTCTTGAGTTCTGTCCAGTCTAGTACTCACAGTCTCCTGCATTCACAGCCACTTTTGGCTCGATCTTTGTACAAATGTTATTTTCTATTTTATGGTACGATGTAGTCTGTTTGAAATACATGATTCATATTGCAGAGGCTGAAATTGGTGCTCTGAACTTAACAGGCAGGACTAGGAAGTAAGCAGGACCGATATGGACTCTAGACTGCTCGGACGGTTTTATGTGTCATTGGTCTAGTAGATGATTCGCTGCTCTCTAATTGGCGGCATCATTACGTCATATACTGATAAGGGCACAAGGCCATAAGTTATAGCAGTACCTGACGTGGGTCTGAAGTATTATGGTGTAGGCTCGTTATTAGTACTGCTATAATGACAGACTTATTCCTAAAATTGTAGACTTGTCATGATGTGATTACTTAATCTATGAGATCTTACGTGGCCGTCCCATAACTGTCTACCCTGACTCCTTGTATCATAAGAATAAGCAATACAACGCCTAGTGCTTCTGACGAATACATTTTGGCTGACGAAAGGATAATATATTTAATGTGAGTAAAGAGAAGTTGTACAGAATGACCACGTCCGTCAGGTTGAGCCATGTCATTTGACTCAACGAGTCACGAATGAATGTTCCCAAGCTCACTATCGTTGGCTTTCTCTTTGTGTTAAGTGTTGAAACTGTATTTTCCCACCTGTCCCATATTCAGC